TGAAGTTTGCAGCTGCATTAGTGCAAAGAATAAGATGACAAACTTAGATCCATATTGTTTGAGTCTTTCATAAGAGAATATCCAAAAAATATTTTTTTTCCCGGAATATTTTCTGGATTTCTATACTATTCCAGGTGTGTAGAAAAAGCCCTGGCATTGTCAGGTTCTGAAATCCTAGCAGTGTGTTTGGAGGAAGAAGAAAAAAGGGAAGAAAGTTGTATGTATGTGTGTCTGGGTGCATTTTGCATTGTAATGCTCTTTATATACAGTTGTTAGTTGGGCTCTTGTGTGCATGTAAACACAGTTTGGATCTAGTGCTTCTTCACACTCATATTCCCCACACTGAGTGCTGACCTGGGATCAGCTGTTCCTTTATGGGTTTATATTCATGAACGGTTTAACAGAAAGATATGAGCTGATCCTACATCAGCCTTCTGCTTGTCAGGTGCTTGATTCATTCTCAGGTCATAAGGGTCTTTACCTCTTACATCGTAAAAGCCTGTGAGTTTGTTTTTTTTTGCGCTCAAATGTTAAAACTGGACCAGGTTAATGTCTACGGAGAGATTCCATGTAATAGAACGTGGCTCCTAAAGCCCAGCTCGTCTCCACGTCGTTGATTTTTCTGGCCAGCTGAAACACATACAGATAACAACATGTTAATGTGTAGATGAAAGGCAAAGAATGATGATAATACTTATCATATAAAAGTCATTATAATGCAGAAAAACCATGCAGTGAGCAGGTTCAGTACATTTTACACACACACACACACACACACACACAAATGCCTATCTGTCAGTTTGTGTGTCTCTCTCTGTCTGTATTTGTGTCTTTCTCTTTGTCGGTGTCTTCTTCTGTGTATGTGTGTGTGTATGTGCGTCTATGACCGTCTTTCTCTTTCTCCATGTGTGCGGATGTGTGTGTGTGCCAGTGTCTGTATGCATACATGTCTGTGTGTTTGTCTCTGGGTGTGTGTGTGCGCGTGTATCTCTATGCCTGTATGTCTCTGT